TAGGTTCGAATCCCACCGTGGCTGGGCATATTTTTCAAGCTCGCCCGGTGTGGATATGCACTCAGAGTAACATCACAAACATATTATTCACCTGAGTACACAACACCAGCACAGAAAAATTTCATATTCAGTGTTACATAAGTAATCATTTAGTATTACATAATAAGCAATCATTTTGACATGAATGTCCACAACATATTCAGTGTTATAACAAGCAATCATTTTGGCATGAAAGTCTAGACAATATAGTCAGTGTCAAGCTGTGGGTCTACAAATCCAAAGATGCAATTTGGAATTCCGACCGTAACAATGAATTTTTTAGTGACATCTGCATGGCCAGAATTTATTTTAGTTCTAATGATGATTCTGTGATAGTTTCCCAGGGGTTTTAGGGAACAAGCTATATTTTGCATTGGGAAACGGAAACAAAATTCATAGAAAAGGGAACATGCAAGCTAGAAAACAAGGAAACATTTCTAACAGAACACTGAGAGCCCCATGCATGGGCCGACGTTCGACAGTAACGTCCTGTAAAACCTGGTTTATACTATCAAAGTTTCTGTGACCACAGTAAGAATTTTGAGTAGGTACATTCTAAGTTTTGAAGGATTTGCAAGAAATGTTAGAGGGAACTAAATCAGTCATTCTCTCAAACATTTCTTACAAATCCTTCAAAACTTCGAATCTACCTACGCAAAATTCCTGCTGTGATCACAGAAACTTTGATAGTGTAAGCCAGGTTTTTAGCATGCATACCTTTGAATAGTCTTTGGGCTATACTTCAGAATTGAAGCAAGACACATATTGTGGTTCTGCAAGAAAAATTGAATGAGTAATTAAGCGTTTAAATAGCAATGCACTCTGATGCGTCCTACTTTAGTATTTTACTCTGTATACCGCCAGACTATTTTACTCGTCAAGGAGAAAATGCTGCCACTCAATGAGTTAACATGACGCAAAAAAGAACATTTGTTTATATCAATATCTCTATTTATAACACCATTATATATCGCCATCTTGAAGCTGCTCAATAAATACTTACAGGAAACCTATGCACGGCATCAGGGACGACAATTTTGTATCTATTTTCAATAGCTTCATCCTTGGGATCACGACCAGCCTTCATGGCAAGAAGTTTGGAGTAATATTGATAAGCATCATCGGTTAGTTCCACAGGAGATACATATATCGCGTCCACTTTAGGATCTGCAAGAAAATGAAGGTTCACTAAATGTTAGAAGATCTGACATTAGAATATTAGGAATCACATCGTAAGAGGGTGTGTGCTAATATCCTCACTCTTGTTCGCTCTAAGATGGAATATGCTAATGTTGTTTGGGATGGGTGTACAATAGGTGAACCGGACCTGCTCGAAAGTATTCAGTATGATGCAGCAAAATTAATTTCTGGAGCAATGAAAGGTACACACAGAGAAAGTGTGTTGATTGATTGCGGGCTGCATACGTTAAATAACCGGAGAAAAATACAAAAGTTGTTATTATTGTACAAAATGGTTAAAGGTTTAGCTCCAAGTTATTTGTCTAATCTTTGTCCTGTTTACGTAAGCCAAAGAACTACATATAGGCTTCGGACTAGGAATGATTTAAGTTTACCTTTCATTCGTACCGAGAAAGCAAAAAAATCCTTTTTGTATTCTACAATTTTTTCATGGAATAATCTTTCTGAATCCACGAGAGAATCTGCAACATTTGTTCTCTTTAAAACTGCTTTATTACGTGAACAATTTTATATACCTCCTGTCAATAGACTGGTTTATCTGGGTGACCGGTATTTTTCGGCCTTACACACAAGATTAAAACTAAACAATTGTGGTCTTAATCATTATCTTTTTTCAATGAACTGTGTTCTATCTCCATCTTGTATCTGTGGTGCACTTAGTGAAGATGTAACTCATTATTTATTATTTTGCCCTCGCTTTGCTGCTCTGCGTGCTTCAATGCTTACCTCTGTCATGCACCTTGCTGGAAATGTATGGAACGTTTTGAATATTTCTCAACAAGTGGACATTCTATTACATGGTTCAAGAAATCTAAGTTTTGAAGTAAATGCTGTAATTTTTTCTGAAGTACAATGGTATATTGGTAGTTCTGCACGCTTCGCATAGGATGTTTATGCAATTGCCAAGCGATCCTTTTTTGTCTGTACTTGTGGTGGTAATTGTAATGTAATACTGTAATTTATGTTTGCATGAACCCCCTCGATGAGCTCTAAGCTCTTGGGGTAAATGTTTCTAAATATTGTTTAAATAAATATCCTCACTTTGGGGGGGGGGGGGTTAGGGGGTTAAACCCCCCTAGAATCTCTCTTACCCCTTTATAAAGTGTTCAGCCCCAGCTCCACTTGCTGAAAAAGTTCTAAAGGGGATCGAACCCAATGTCTCTGACTTATAACATCAAATTTGTAGGACCAGGTGGAACCAATACACTAACGAGAAATTACTTCCTACAATGTCCCAACTGCCGTAACCGAACCAAGATCCGACCTTTGCCACCAGAAATTTTGAGTTAGAATATACCAGTTGGGACATTACGAGTAGCGTTTCTATGGCGCAAGGTTTATGTTGATATGATCAAATGCACTTTACATCAAGTATTACGCTTACCTATAAATTGCATATTCTCAGCCTAGATTATTTTATCTTTGCAACAATTGTGATATTACTTTCTTAACCACCCTGTCAACTTTCCCTGTGGGAGGAAACCGGAGCACCCGGAGAAAGGCTACGACTTTCGGCAGAGCAATTCTTTTCACACGAGTCCGTAGCAAGAATCGAACCCACGATCTCTGAAACGCGCTTGCAGGGCGGGCGCTTGCTCTGGGGAGTACGCTACTAAAGTCATGGAGTCATGCCAATCATTTACGACTGTCATTTGATAGACATGTGAGAGCATGCTGAAGTACCTGCTATATCGCAAAGCCTCGCCATCTGCAAGTTCTGTAACATCGGTAGATCAGCCAGATTATCGCGAACATGTTGCAT